GTTTTTTAATTATCTTCAGTGAGATCTTACTTGCATGCGATATTAATGATATCGTTCAATAATTTCCACATTCTGTGGGATCACTTTTCTTTGAAGTGGGTACAAATATGGATCTCTTCCAGTCAGTTGGCCAGGTAGCTGTCTTCCAAATCTCTTGGCATAACCGAATGAGTGCCTCCAGTGGGGCATCCATTTGTTGAAATATCTCAATGGGTATTCTGTCAGTTCCCGGAGCCTTGTTCTTCAGCAATTCTTTCACTGCAGCTTCAACTTCCTCCTTCAACACCATTGGTTCTAGATCATATGCCACTGCCTGAAATGGGTGAAGATCAACCAGTTCTTTTTGGTACAGTGACTCAGATTCCTGCTATCTTCTTTCAAAGTTTCCTGCATCTTTCAATGTTTTGCCCATAGAATCTCTCAATATTGCAACTCAAGGCTTAATTTTTTTCTTCCATTCTTTTAGCTTGAGAAATGCTGAGCATGTTCTTCCCTTTTGGTTTTCCAACTCCAGGTCTTTGTATATTTCATTATAGTAATTGGCTTTGTCTGTTCGTGCTGCTCTTTGAAATCTGTCTAGCTCTTTTATCTTGTCATTTCTTTCATTGGCTTTAGCTACTCTCCACTCAAGGGAAAGTTTCAAAGTCTTTTCTGTCATCCATTTAGGTCTTCTCTTCTTTTCTTGTCTTTTTAGCGATCTCTTGCTTTCTTCATGGATAATGTTCTTGATATCCTCCCACAATTCTTCTGTTTTTCGGTCGTTGGTGTTCAATGCATCAAATCTATTCTTTAGATGATCTCTAAATTCAGGAGGGATATATTCAAGGTCATATTTTGTCTCTCTTGGACTTGTTTTAGTTGTCTTTAATTTCAAATTGAACTTGCATATGAGCAGTTGATGATCTGTTCCACAATCAGCTCCTGGCCTGGTTTTGGCTGAAGATATTGAGCTTTTCCACCACCTCTTGCCACAGATACAGTCAATCTGATTCTGTGTGTTCCACCTGGTGAAGTCCACCATGTGTCATGTGTGTTGTTGAAACAAGGTGTTTGCAATGAACAAGTCGTTGGTCTTGCAAAATTCTACCATGCGAGTTCCAGCATTATTTCTGTCACCAAGACCAAATTTTCGAGCTACTGGTGATTCTTTTTTGTTTCCAACTTTTGCATTCCAGTCACCAGTAATAATTAACATCCTGATTGCATGTTCGGTCAATTTCAGACTGCAGAAGTTGATAAAAATCTTCAATTTCCTCATCTTTGACTTTGGTGGTTGGGGCATAAATTTGAATAATAGTCATATTAATGGGTCCTCCTGGTAGGCATATAGATATTATCCTATCACTGACAGCATTTACTTCAGGACAAATCTTGAAACATCCTTTGTGATGATGAATGCCATGCCATTGCTCTTCAAACTGTCATTCCTGGCATAGTAGATCATATGGTTGTCTGATTCAAAATGGCTAAAACCCATCCATTTCAGCTCACTAATGCCCAGTATATCAATCTTTATGCGTTCCATTTCCTTTTTGACAACTTCCAATTTTCCTAGATTAATACTTCATACATTCCATGTTCCTATAATTAATGGATCTCTGCAGCTGTTTCTCCTCAATTTGAGTGGTGCCACATCAGCAAATGGAGGTCTTGAAAGCTTTACCTTATCCATATGAGTGAGGCTGGGTTTACTCTGATGATGCAGCTCTTTCCCAGTCCTATTTTGAGAGCCTTCTAACCTAACCAGACTATTCATAAAGTTGTGCGGTAATGTATCAGACAGTGTTTCTCTGCTATTCATAAGGTTTTCCCTGGCCTACTCTTTGAGAAGTGGGTGGTTTCTTTCTTCTTCCTAGTCTGTCTCAGTCTGTAAGCTGGGCTAATACCTGTGCACCATGTGCATCCTGCTGGGTTTGAAACACCAGTGGCTCAGCCTCAAAACTCACATCAACATGTCACCACGGTAGGACAAACTGACAGACAAGTTTGTCTCCCTGTTGGAAACCTCTCATACCACCCTTACCTGGATCCCTGTGGCTAATTCCTCCTCTGTCCTGGTTCCTGGGCCTTTTTCTCCCCTTTCTCCTGCTCTCCCACCCTGCTGCTTTGGGCGTGCCTGGGTTCCCTCTCCTCACCTGGATTCCTGAAGCTCACTCCTCTTCTATCCCAGTCCCTGGACTTATTCCTCTCCCCTCTCCAGTTCTCCCACCCTGATGCTTTGGGTGTGCCTGGGTTCCCTCTCCTTACCTGGATCCACGCAGCTCATAGATTAATAATTATGGTTATTAAATCCTCTATTGTGAGTTTAATTAGTGTAAATGGAATTTCCTAAACCTAGATGAAAATTACAATGACATTTCTAACCCTGGAGAACTCAGGAAAAGGTCTTGGGCTGATGATGACAAGGCTCTGGTTGAGGATTCAGGTTATATCTACCTGTATGGATGTCTCTCTAAATGATGGCAAAATATTCACTGGTGACCCAGAGATCCTTCCAACCTCCAGCCTCAGACTTCTAATTCCCTGCACAATATATATATATATATATATATATCTCACTGGCATTGCAAACAAAAAATGGTAGAGCTGTAATTCTTACCCTCCACATTCCAAAATAGTAATAACTTCTTTCTTTCTTTAAAATGACATCTTGTTCTCCTCATCATTCAAACTCAAAATGACCCATACTGGGTGGCCCACGTATACCAAATGTCATCATTCTTCATGTTCTGAGGATTTATTAGTGGAGACTTTCACTTCTTGCATATGGTCCTCCACTTTTCTCCTTGTTGTCACCACTGTAATTCAGATTGTCAGTTTTGCTAGCTTTTATGTAATGACCTCCTAACTCCTCTTTGAACACTGACACATCACAGTCATCTCATAGAGACCCTTTATGAGTCACTTCCTTGCTTAAGACTTTGAGCAGATCTCCAACTTTAATAGATTTTAGCCTCCTCTCTTCCTTTTCAGCTTTTTTTCTCCCATACTCCCTTCTAAATAAGCTCAGTGCTGTCTCTGAACTGCCATCTGCAGCTTGTCAAATAGGACCTCTGTTTCACCCTTTTTGGATTTTGCTCATTGCTGTTCCATTTTTCCTCCAAAAGCCTCCTGTCTAAATGCTGATGTATTTCAAAGTTCAGCTCAAACCTACCTCCATTATGAAGTCTCTAGCTAGCTCCCACATCAGGTGATTCCTTCCCCTGGGGTCTTTAATATCATGGTCCTTTGGCACAAAGAAGAACATTCTCACTTGTGTTACAATCGTGATTCCCACTAGATACCCCCACCCACTCTCAGTCTCCCTGTTTCTTCACCCACTGACCAGAGGAATCATCTTAAACATAAGTCATAAGATGCCACTCTTGTGCTCAAGATAAGCCATTGGCTCCCAACTCAGTCAGAGTGATGCTCTAATTTTTTCAAGGCCCTACACAACCTACTTCCAACCACCACACACACACAGAGTCAATGCCCTAACCCTTAGTCTTCACCCTTCACTCAAAGTGCTTTAGTCACACAGGCCTCTTTTTTTTTTCCCCCTGAAAGAAGCCTTACATACTTGTACATCAGGACCTTTCCCTTTCCCCTCCTCAGAGTGTTCTTCCCCTGAAATCTACATGACTCACCTTTACATCAGGTCTTCCCTGTGTCATCTTGTCATAAGAACTCTCTATGCCCTACCTATTCCTTGCTTTATTTAAGCCCACAGTATTTATCTCCCTGAATATTTATGAGCTTTGACACCCTGCATGCTTACTTAGCTAGTATTTTCTTTGTTTCTTACTGTCAGCTCCATCTCACTGGAAGGTGACTATCATGAGAGCAGAGATTACTGTCCCCTTTGCTCCCTACTCTATTCCTAG